CCTTTTGGTGGGTTTTAGGACCCTCATAACCTCTGTCCAAAGGTGGTTTTGCCATTTTGCATGTCCATCATACATGTGTGGAATAACTCCTTGCATGGCCTTCCAAATGAGCATTTCATTCTTCCATGTGTTGATTGAGTTTCAGTGGTTATTTGGGCATATTTTGGCATGGCATACTTCTATTTTTGGCTGGTTTGGTGAGCTCTCATATGCTTCATATAGTTGTAGTACAACTCATGGTTCACTAGCTTTCTTTGCATGCTTTGTTGACCCTTGATTTTAGCACGTTTTGGCCATGCCTTAAACTGATGTTATGCATATTTTGGACTGCCTTAGCTCCGTTTTTGGGTCTCATGGTCGAATGATGTTTGTTTTTCATACTTGTAGTTCAATACCCATGCTTAACTTTGAGTTTTGAGGCTCATTCCATGCATATACTGAGGTGTGTTCATGTTTCGGGTCCATTATACATCATATTTTAGAGCTTGTATGAATGTCATATTGCCATGCTTTCTACTCCTTAAGTGTGCTTGAGAGTTGTCCACGAATGCCTTGTTTTTCAGACCATTGAATGAGCTCCATTTCTTTGCATTCCGAGCCATCATTTTAGGCCATTTTCCCACTGTTTCAGACCTTCCTAGGGTCTGTTTGGGGTTGGTTTTGCCATTTGCGCATTGCTTTGGGTACCTCTAGTGTGACGCACTTCACTAGTTTTGGTACCCGGGTTATCTAGCATGCATGGGGTAACATATTTGCATGTTTTGGGACCATCTTTTGTGCCATTTCAGAGCTGTGTCATGTGTTATTCTATGCCATACTCCATCCTCTGCCATGCTTAGTTAGAGTTGCATGTTATGCCTTAGGATCGGTCCTTCGCATCCGTGCATGTTTGCATGTGTTTCGGTTGTCTCATTTTCATTCCATGGCCACTGATTTGAGTGTGGCTGAGGTCCACTCATATTGGTTTAAGTCCACCTTGCATTGTGTATGCCATTTGGTTCATATTGTTGCATGTTTGACCATCGCATTGTGTATGCTTTGATTATGCCTTTATATATGTCCATCTTCGTGTGTGTATTGCGTATGCTAGGTTGTTAGTCGCATTGTGTATGCCATATAGTTTATAGCATTGTGTATGCTAGTAGCATGTTTGCATCTCATCCTTGCATGTTTGCATGGTTAGGTCGCATTGCATTAGGATTGCATGCTAGTTGCATTTGTGCATGTCATGCATATTGCATTGTGTTTGGAGTAGGAGTTAGTCCAAACACGAGAAACGAGGGATTTTTCATACTCAAAGTGACGAAACGTGTCTCAATTTCCGGTCGCCGACACTCTTGACTATCCATGATAGAGTTGTTGGCTTTACTTGCTTATATGTGCATTCACGTCCCATTGAGTCGTGCAATTCGACTTCTCGGCCATCATGCATTGAGATGCGTGATTGGTGGCACGAGGATCGAGGTCTACACTCCCTTGAGCTTGTGCAAAGACGGGGAGGTCTTGCGCACATATGTTGAAAATACCTTACTTTCTCTCCCTCTTGCCTTTGTTGCAAAAAAAACCAGAATCCAGGGGTAGAAAGTGGCCGGCCGACCAGGTTTCCTGGCAGGCCAACCACCTTTTTTGGTTTCCACCACAAAGGGTGATCGGTAGGTATTTCCCAAGCCAATATCTGGTCGGTAGCCTTCCCAAGGTGGAGTTTCAGCCTCTTGGAGCCTTGTGCAAATTTCTAAAATCAGTTGCAAACAAAAGCGAGACGAGGCATCGCGATGGAATTTCCCGACAAGGCGACTCAAGCATGCATGCATCCATCGTCACCCAAAACAGAGCCGAGGCAGTCACATTCGTGTGGTTTACTTGCTTACTTAGCTAGTTTGTTAATTAGTTAATATTGTGTAATAATTAGCTGTAGCTGTTATTTATTCGGACTGTATTATTTATTCGGACCCCTCGAGGGGGGGCAATGTTGTAATAAGTGTGCGTGTGTGTGATGTATGTCTTCCAACCCCACGTCTTTCTTCCTTTTATTTATCGACTTATGATGGTTAGATTAGGGCATGTTTCAATTAGCATACTTATACTTGCATGTTTGCATCATTCATCTGTATTGCATGCACCGGGCTCGGCACATCATACTAACTGCATTGTATTTCAATTCCAAGTTGAATATGTGTTAGTTGTAGCATTTCACATGTCATTGTAGAATAGCTAAGCCTACTTTAGTTGCATTTTGCATGTGTTGCATTAGGCATTCCAGCATAGTTAGGATTCATGCATGATTTCCAATCAGCTTCTGTTTTGGCTTGGAGTACTCGGTAAGTTTTATGCTTTAGCATCCTTCTATGCGTGTGAGTGACTGCCATGATAGCATGCTTACCATGAGGCTATATGCTTATGTGATATAACTGCCTGAATGTCTGTGGGTGGAGGTTGGGTTATTTGAATTGGAACAATGCATTGAATGAGAATTTTAAGCCCATTCGAGAGTGGCAAAATCATGTTTTCTAAGCCCACCCGAAGGTGGCAAAATCCACGTCTTAGTCTACTTACGAGTAGCACCTTCAAACCGTTTTTCAAAATGAACATGAGATGTTTTGTTCCAATTCAGGCGACCCAGTCTATACTTGTATACTGTGCGCATCACATAGTAATTCTAGACTAATAACCGAAATAAGAGCACATAATGTTTTCAAAACTCGATATCATGGTTAGTAGAGGCCGATCTTTGATCGGGCGAGCAGGGGTGCTCACGAAGTGACCTTCCCCCCTCGTACCCAAGTTCCCGAGCCGAGACAACTTTGGTGATGATGGACACGTGGCCTTAGGCAAACGAGTCGGGGTTTCCCAAATTCCCCAAAATAAAATATTTTGGTGGCGACTCTGTATTTGGCAAAGCAGTCCATGTTTGGCACTTTTTTCAAAAAAATCTGTTTTCAAAAATGATTTGCCGGATTTGGACTCTTTAATGATTCATCGGTCTTGCATTGCACTCTACGAGATTAGATACAGGACCGTGACATTTGAGTCCTGAACTGTAGTAAGCCCCAATGAACAAAACGGGATTTCCCTCCCGGGACGTTCAGGGACATCTACAATTATACATGTATATTTTTAACTTTGTTGAATTCGAAGATTACTTAGAATAAAAGAAAATAGAGACAAACTCACAAACAAATTATATTATTAATTAATTGAATATCCCTCAGACTTGCGGTTATTTATGATAATGAGCAACGACAAGCAAACTAGGTAAAGCAGGAAAATTTAAGAACATAAGAAAACTACCAAAAATGAAAATTTTGAGTTAGGCTCAAATTTGAATACTAGAAAGAAAATAAATATTCTAGAAAAAAAATCTAATCAAAATCATATTCATATTAATTAAGTAGTTGATATCAAAACTTTTCCAAAACAGAAAAGTCACGAAATTGAAGTCCTAATGAGAGAATCCACCCAAAATCTACCGAGATCCATGAGAAAACAATGGATCCTAATCTCCATGACGTTTTCCATCACTCTACCAAGTTTCATGCAATTCTGAGCTCAAGTCGCTTCATCTCTACTACCAGCATTTGCCTAAGTGCCTGTCCATACGTTCCAAGCATTCTGCATCATCCTATCTGAATAAGAAAGAAATTGCCCTTGAATATGAATCATCATCGGTATAATCCAATTGATAAGATGCTTAACATTGAAAGCATCTTAAGCGCAAATATGACTCGTAAACTTCAATCTGTATGCATTTGGGTTGATCTGTTCAATAAGGAGCAATCATTGGAGCTGTTGACTTCTTGTCCTTGCCGCTAGAGAAAAGATCTGTAGTCAAGCAACCCAAACTCTACTGCTTTGTCCTTAGCAACATCACGTTTGTACTTAGCTACAGCAGCGTGCAAACAGTGTTGCATCACCTTGTGAACTCCTGAAGTTGGGTAACCAGAACCTTTACCTTCTCATGAACACTCTTCAAGTCTGGAACAGGTTCCAAATTGAAGGGTGTCCGAGAGTTTTGTTCATTGAGCGATTATAAGAAATTTCTACTTTATGCAAATTTTGGTCTCATGATTTGAGATGATCCCCTACTAAGCTACAAAGCAAACTTCCCATTGATTATCTTTGTCTGTCCATCTACTTCTAGATGATAAGCACTACTGAAATCTAACTTCTTGTTAGATAGATGCGGCAAACTCCACCAAAAAGTGGCTAAGGAAATGAGTATCTCTGTCGAACATTGTGAACTATGGCAACCCATGTAGACAATATATAGGGAATGAAGTGAACCATATTGGAGAATCTGCCCACCACCACAAAGATTGAATCATTTTACTTGTGTGTATGTGACAAGCTCAAACAATTTTCACATTGACATTAGTCCATGGTTAATGTGGAATTGGAAGTATAAGCCCGCATTAATCACATTGCCCTTAGAAGCAAAGAGAATGATGGCAGCGGCAACAAGAGCAAGAGAGAGGTTGTGCAGAGTAGGCAGCAGCAAGAAAGGTAGGCAACCGGAGAGGGAGTGGCGACCAACAATGATGGTTAGGATTAGGATTTGAGATAGAGAGTTGAAGAAGATGAAGTCAATTTAAGATTTTTTGAAAATTGATAGTGCAAAGCGAAAATAAATCAAAGAATTAAAAATGTGTGGTATATATTGAAAAAATGGCGTACCAAGTTGTGTGGTGTGCAAATAGAATTACCCTAAAGTAAAGTAGTACTAAAATACTAGGTATGTTCTAAACCACATTCTCTAAAATGATGATGCTTTGCTTCAACTCAGACCATTAACTTATCACAATAAAATTACTGTTGACTGATCCATAGCACAAGATGATAATCCCAGTAGTGTTTAGCCTATTAGCCAAGAGCCACTTGCACCTTGATATGAGATTCAACTCTTTAAGAACAGGTTTTTGATGTATTGCCTACAACAAAACTAACACCAAAACCTCAGAAGTTCATTAGAAACCTATATCACTTGGCACATAGGATCAAATTGCAATAAGTAATAGTAAACCTAGCCTAACAAATTACAAGATACAATTAGCAAGCAAAAATATCAACAACGAAACCATTTAACTTTGTTCATATCACAACCACATAAACGTTCCCTACTACTACCATCTCATTTCCAATGTTTTGTTGACACAGTTGACAATAATTAAATCTCACCAAAATACCCTACCAATTTACATTAGAAGATGAAGCCTCCTGTCAAAAAAAATGGACTTCAATGCATTCTTTTTTTTTTTTTGTTGGTAGGTTGCTTCACTGCATTCAACTGGTTTCCATAGATATATCAATGTCTTGCTGAATAATATTACAATGGGGAACCATTTTATGTAGCATAGATGTTCCCTTGAAGGTCAACATTTGCCAACAGTTTTTTCTGTATTCGCTAAGCTGCAGAACAAAAGACAAATCAAAAAAATTTATGTCAAGAACGGTTCGAGAAAGAACAAGCAGGAGATGAGTTGTGAAGACATGCATACTTGATCTGGTGGTATCTTTTCAAAGCCGAATTTATTTGTCCATATGGATTCTGCTTCGTAAGCAGCAGGGAGCACCAAACTCTTCACGTTCAAGAATGCAAGCAGTTTCTCAATGCAGGAGAATAGTATCTGGAAGTAGCCCTGTTTAAGTATTGATTGGGGTAAGTAAAACTGTATTAGTATATCCAACAACGAATGCAACTGATGTTGAGCAAAAAAAAAAATCAGAAAAGTCATAACTTAATAGTTTATATAAATATACTTAACCATACTAATTATTATGTTTCTGCTTATTCACAATAGAAATATGCAAGGTTATATGTCAATTCATTACAAAAACTGATATTCTCAAAATGTAACATTTTAACTTTGTCATTACCAATTTTCAGAGGAACTTGTGGTGATAGCTTTGTATGAACAAGGGAAAATGAAATCCTGAAATAGTTCTAAAAAATTTGTGGTCTCAATAATGTCAAGTCATTTGATCATCACTAATGTACAAATGTCCTAGTGTCAAATAAACACTAGTATTCCAACACCTGAATGAGACAACAGCTAAGTAATGGATCTGAATGTGGAGACAAGACATGAATATGATAATGATACCATATAGGCAAATCAGCACAAAAAAATTTCATAAAATCAAGACATGGACATGGCGGGGACACAAATACTATCTACTATCTTAATTGTCACCAGTCACAAATATGTCAGTGGCTACTCAATATATCACTGCAAAGTGTTAGCATCTTCAAGTGACAGCAAGAAGGAAACGTATGAGAATTATTATATTCTTGTGAAAAGCCAGGCATCCAACAATGAAGCCAATCAAGGCAGATGTGCTACAGTACCGCTACCAACAAGGCAACATATAGGAAATTTACTTGTAAAGAAAACAAATTTCCTAGAATGGCGGATTTAATCTCGCGGTTCAAAAAATTTTAGTGGCTCATATTTCAAATAAACATAGCGGGCTGGAAAACTGATTTGCGGAAACAATGGGAGACTTGCTCCATAGAACTCCCCAAAGACTTTAGTCTTCTCTATGGGCAAAGGCGGTCAGGTGCGCTTAAAGTTTTATTGCCTAGACGTTATCTTAAGACGAGGTTGCCACCACGCCTGCTTTAGTCTCAAATAGGGTACAAATTGAGGTGAACACACTGGACAAAACCCCCTACGTCAAAAAGGCAGGTGTGTTACAGTACCACTACCAAGGCAATATATAGGAAATTTAGTTGCAACGCAAAACCAGTTTCCTAGAATAAGGGATTTAATCTCATGGTTCAATACATAAATTATATGCATGTGTGCCAGAAACAGAGCATATTAACCTCACCTTGCCTTGGTTACTATTACATGTCGCAACTAGAGGTAGCTCTGCAATTTCCTGTCCAAAAACTCTGAAGATTCCAGCCGATACAACAAATGAGCTGCATGATCAGTAAAGGAGATTGTTATTAACAGTTTTCTAGCAAACATGCTCAGGTTCATTTAAAAATAGAATAATTTAAAAAATTCTAACCTCCCTTCTTGTGTTACATAAAGAACAAGTCGGAAAAATTCTTACTTGACTGTTAATACTGCACAATACATTCCTCCAAAGTCTTGGCCCCTGATGTTTCTTCTGTGTGAGAAACAAAGACAATGCTTAAGTTCATGGAAATTAATCAGCACGGAAAAAACATAAAACATAAAACAGTGCAATGGGGAAAAAGAAACAGGTATAATATAAGCCAAAAGGTCCGATGGTTACCCGTAAACCATTGATGGAATAAAGTCGCGTCCAGTTGCTAAATCAACTATAGGGTCAAAACAATCCTGAGCACAAGTATGTGTAAATTAAAAATTGGTTTATTGCTAAGCATTTCTCAAGTAATTAAAAATGCTCTTTTACAAATGCTAAAGATGTATCAAAACAAACACAACAGAAAATCCTCTTGAAGTCTAAAAGTACAAAATTACGTGCCATGTATATTCAATGACACAATACATGAGATGTAATAAACTCAACTAATCAATCATTAACCACACAGATGCAAATCCAGTGAAGGTTCAATCAAAGAAATCCATTCTAACAAAATTTATCACGATAAACCAATCAAATTGACAGTAATTTGTATCTTGAAAGGAAAACCACTGGAGTATGTTGGTAGACATGAAGTGTGATATTTGAATAAGTTTAAACATCTAAAGGTAGAAGGGGATTGACTGGAGTAGGTACTCCTAAGATGTCTTGGATGAGTATCTCATCAAAGACCTGCAACCAACTCCTAGTACATTATTGCCCTCAAACTCAGTAACACCAATAACAATATCATAGTAATGCATTCTTTTTCTTCAATTTTTTTCCTTTGTTGTGCACCCCTTTATGTGGTGGTTGGGGGCTATCTTGGGAGTTGGAGGTTATAAACCTACACACACAACATTGTCAAGACGAACATTTCCTCCTGAAAGAATGTGGTAAATTATTTTGTAAGACAAGTATCAGGCTCATACTCTCCTTATGTGCTCCCTCAAAAGGTATGAAAAAGTTCAAGGGAAAAAACTTTGCTCCCCGCGTGCTTGGCAATGAAAAACAGATGAATTGTGTAGCCCAACTTCAACTCTGAAAATGAGCATTTAGGTGAGTGTTTAGCTCTGTAGAGACCCATAAGGAGACTTCCAATTTTGATTATAAAAAATTACAAAATTACTTATTTTTCCAACGCCCACCAGATTAAAGGTGTTTAAATCCCTTAAATTCCATAACTCACCTGATCTTTTGAAGCACACATCTTATATATAATAACCAGTGAGTTTGGCATTCTTTTCCTTTGCCCCTAGCAGATCCCCAATAAGCCCATCAGAAAAGGGTTACAAGAAGTCTCTCACACTGGTAGTGGATAAAACCCAGCCACACCCCCACCAAAAAAATAAAAATAAAAAACTAACAAATCCAATGCCCATCTGCTCTCTTTCAAGTCGGACTAGAGTAACAATGATTCAAACTCCAGTCAATGAGGCTAACTATAGTTACCAAATCTGGCAAGTGCACATACCATGCACGTACCAAGCACATGAAAAACTACACAGATTTACCAGAAGATTTATGCAAACTGTTCTTTTTCTTCTTTATTATTATTATTATTATTTTACACATCTTCAAGTAGTATTCTTTTATTGTACTCAACTCCATTCAGTATGACCTTACCCAGTGTTGTGAAAAGCGCGCCTAGGCGTGCGCCAAGGCGCAAGGCGAGGCGAAGCGAAGCGCACTGTTTGCGCCTGGACAGGTCCCAGGCGAGGCGACTTGAGTTAGGCGCGCGACTTAGACGCGACTTGACCAGGCGGCAGAGGCGCAAGGCGCACGACTAGGCGCACTTGATTTTCTAACAGCTAGATCTGATCTAACAGGTGCGCTTGAACCCTAATCTGTGTCGTCTCTTCCTCTCTCGCCTCGCCTTGGACTTCGACTGGGCTGCTCGACTTCTTCTTCGACTTCACAGGTATGCTTCGCCATCTTCTTCTTCGTCGCCATCTTCTTCTTTTGGCCTTCTTCTTCGACTTCAACTTCTTCGTCTTCTTCGACTTCTTCTTCGGTTCTGTTTTTTTTTTTTTTTGGCTTCAACTTCGACTGACTCTCTCTCTCTCCTTCTTCTTCTTCTTTTGGCTGTTCGACCGCTCTGTTTTGCCCCCTTTTTTTCTTTTTCTTTTTTTTTTTTTCAATTATGCCTTTGAGCCCGTTAGAAACAAAAAATAAAAAATACAAATAAAAAATAATGAACTAAAAAAAAAAATAGATTTTGATTTGATTCTGATTCTGATTAATTAACTAAAAAAATACACTGAAAAAAAAATACAAATAAATAATTATTCACAAATAATTAATTAATACAATGTACTACTAGTCTTTTTTTTTCCCCTTTATCTGTTAGGAGAAAAAAAATAGATTCTGATTCTGATTAATTAACTAAAAAAAATACACTAAAAAAAATTTACAAATAATTAATTATTCACAAAATATTAGTATTTGTTGGATATTTATGTTTTAGATGTTTAGTTTTTATGTTTTTGTTTTTGTTTTTGTTTTTGTTTTTGTTTTTGTTTTTGTTTTTGTTTTTATTTTTATTTTTATTTTATTGAATGTGGATTATTTTATCTTTGAAAATTGGAATGTTATGTGATATGCACCTTCATGACGTTGAGAATTATTTTATATTTTGTCTTGAATCTTGATTACTTTTTATTTTTAAAGTATCTCTCTACACCTCATAATGTTTGTAGATTACGAAAATTGTGGGTGTAGAGAGATAATTGGTGGGTTCATTTAGAAGTAATCATAATTATGGGTGCCCACTATCTAAATTCCCCCAATTCTAAGACACCCCAGATATTTATGTATAGGCAATAAATTATGTATAGGAAGGGGTAATTAGTCCAATGCTTTTCAAACAAAAACGATATTCTACACACTGTATATTACCAAAACAACGTCCAAAAAAAACAGGCACGAGAAGGATTTACACTATTATGTGACCAACCACACAAAAAATTTGCAAAGAGTACATGCATTTTAATATGGCAATCTTCTCACATATATGCACAAACATGCATATGTTAATTCATAAATCCATGCAGCCATATGTATATTAAATTAAACAAAGAGATACTTAACAAAAAAAAAAAAAGGAAGCAAGCAAAGAGATGGGCATTTAACATATATTTTTCAACCAAAAACCAGTTATACTACTAAATTCTGTTCGCATCAAATGTAAATTAACATGTGGATCACCATTGGTCACCATAGGCAACTAATAAATCACTGGATGAATTAAGCATCAAGGTACAGCACAAGCAGTACTTACATGAAATATAGCAACAGCATTTGAGAGCAGCAATCTAGTTTCACGAGAAGCAATTTTGCCACTGAGAAGCCTCCATCTCACATCAAAATCAGTGATAGTATCAGAAATTTTGTCCACATGCTTCTTCTTTATAACATCCAAAAGTGAGTCTGGAATCTTCTCGTCACCACGAACCAGCAAATTCTGCAAAGCGGAAGAGATCCTCCTGCAATTCATGCAGCAGAACCACTTGCCCTTTGGTAATTCCTGTTGCAAAATTAACATCAAATTGTGATCCAGAAATATAGTAGCAGGTAAGCTGTGCAGAAAAATGGAAATTCCTTTAGAAAATAAACTAGGATCAAACTACAAGAAACAATATATGTGTGCACACCTTTAGATCTGCCATTTTATGTTTCTTCAAGCAGCCAACATGGTATTCCTTCTCACACTGAGAAAGAAACAAACATAACATACTAGCTATTCAGATATAAGCATGAGGAGATTCAAAGTAATGCATTCCATATTCAAATTGCTTTGTAACTAAGCTGAGGAAAATACTAACATCAAGAACAGAGTACCTGATCACAAACAATAACTGTGGAAGGACCAAATCCAGATTTGCTAAAATCATAACCTCTAAATGAACCAAACAAGATAAACAAATACTCAGGATTATATTAACTCCAAAACTTAGCACACACAAGTGAAATATAAGCACAATGTCATAACAAACAGCAATAAAAATCTTGGAGAAAATCTAAGCTTTAACAATATGTCTAGGATAGCTTGACCAGTACCTGCACAAAACACATGCAACCACCTCAGAATCTTCGGGATTTTTTACGATTCGAATGCATCGCTTTGTTATCTGTTCAATAGGATCAACTCCTGAAACCCTTCCAGCTGCTACAGCATTAGCATTATGCTCCACATACTTCTCCCTTTGGAACTTATTCTGACAATAGTTACAGTACCATTTACCACGAGGAATGCTTGATAACGATGCACATTCTGCAGGGACCAATGAGAATGCACATTATAATCAACTCAGATCACCACCTTGTAATCAATTCAGAGAGGCAACCAGAACAATCTACAGGAAAGAAGCCGGGCAATCAAGTAAGAGAATCAGACATGAATCACATTGCATAATTTCTAAATTCAGGTACTCCTACACCCCGACCAAAAAGAAAAAGGGCTGAGGGTTAAAATGAATGAATCGATTGACAACCTTATAGCAATTGTTTTTGATACAATTTGTCAGTTGATTTTGATTTCCAGTACCTACTGTGAGGTCCATCAAATATCTGAAGCATAACTAAAGGACCAGATGCCCAACGAATGGATGAAAATGGATGCTGGAACAGAAAAATGTGCCATTGGTGTAGGCTACATAGGCATAAATATAGTAAAATCCATTTAAATTATTAAAATAAAATAAAGGAAGCTTGTAAATTTCTTAAAAGAATCACTCAGTACTAGTTCGCTAACAAAATTCCAGGACAGTAACCATTTAGGTAGTGCTTGAGTGAGCAATTTCCCTAAGCTAAATCTAGGAATACTACAGAATGGGGAAAAAATATATATATATGTTGTAAGATTGCCCTTAAAAAGTCCTACAGGATTTAACTGAATGCTTCTGCCTATGTACCAAAGTTCCACTTATTACTTTAAACTTCTAGATAATATGACACTGCTTTGCCAGATCAATGAATACAGTTCAGAAATTATAGGAACCATGACTGATACCAAACACATTGCGTCAAACAAAATTTTCCTTCTTTGCTCCTTTCTCTGCAATTATTCTATGAGAAGACACAGGGAGTAAGGGCCTAAACACTCTGTGTAAAAGACAAAAAGGCAAGCACTATCTAAATAAGAAAGCTCATCTTCTTGCTTCAGTGCCTTGTTTGGTTTACACACCAATGCAATTGGAGACAAAAAATTTCTTTTCTCAAGTAAAAACAAAATAGAAATTCAAAAAAATGCATTTAAAAAACATATAAATTCAAAATGACATTCAGTAAGAAATACAAAGACTCGGAGATAAGAGCACTTAAGATGATGAAAATGCTAATAACAAATCATTTCATAGGAATTCAAATTTCACCTTTATGGAATGCCCTTGGGCATCCATCACAAAGCAAGAGATTCCCACCATCAGCACAAATGATGCACAGGTCATCACTATCCTTAGCACGATACTTACGACCTTTCAATAGGGATATTGCAAATTCATGGAGAGACACCCCATTTGATGTGTAAATGCATCCATAGCTGTGGACAACATATACGTCAGGCAAAAAATGACAAACAACTAACAGATAGAATCAGGAACTTGACAAAATTTGAAAGCTGGGGGGAAGAAAAAACAATACGGTTTTCTGCGTGAAGCCCAACCAGCATGAGCTTCAAACTGTGAAGGGCTGACCTGCTCATTAATTACAAAGAAATTGAATACGTCTAATGGAATATTGAGAAAGGGCTTGAGTGTACTAAGATAAGAAAAATACCTCAGAGTTGCAGCAACGACAAAATATCCCCAGGCCCCTTTTATAACCCTCAAGCAATTTCTGTCAACGAAAAATTATTACTTCACAAGATTAAAATTATTAAACAGATGCAGCACGTACTATTTATATCAACAACCTGCCCGCGAGAATAATATGCCACTTCAGTTCCATCAGGTAATCCACCTTCCTCAAAAACCAATTTATGAAACCGCAGATCTCTAGATAAAAGAAATCACAAGATCAATACCGTGCACAACTGCACTAAACAAAAATGAAACTGTATAGAATTATGTACCAACTTTTTGGTTATCTTCCATTTACTCTTCTTTTGTGGAGAGATACATAGAGAAGCACTTTTTGATGACCTCAAAATGAAAGCAGCTTTTGATGACCTGACACATCCAGATAAAAGCATTTCAAAATAGAGAGAAAGAGAACAGATATAATAACCTGACATCACTTGATAGAATAGAAGTACCAACTTTTCCGTAATCTTCCGTTGACTCTTATTTTGTGATAAAACACGCACTGAAGCCCTTCCGTACGACTTTCGAGCAGATAAGTGTTTTGAAAACCTCAAATAACACACAGACATATTAGAAGAAATAAATTGAATTTCACTAAATAGATTTCTTTAGGTCCATTGCAAAGATAAGGAAATCTCACAGAAAGGAAAGAGAAATAAACCAGAAAAGATACCAACTTTTTTGTTATCTTTCCCTGACTGTTAATTTTTGAAGAAATTCGTACTGAAGCACTTGCAGAGGACTGTGCAACTGGTGCTGATCTTGAGGAACTAAAATAGCCCAGACAAAAGCAGCATGTCAATAGATAGAAATATGATATCTAACTATAATTAACTTTCACTGAAAAGAAAAAGGAATCTTGGTCAATGGAAAATGAAGTTTACTAGAAGAGACACCAACTTTCGTGTTATCCTCACTTGACTCTTATTTTGTGAAAAAATATCTACTGAAGAATTTCCAGAATATTTTGGAGTCAAATCTGGTTTCAAGGACCTGAAATAACCCAGTTGATATCAAAAAAGGGAAATAGAATATATTAATGGTTGTTAGAATCGTACGATTTGTGATTCGATTTATACGATTCGATACAAGTTTCATAAAAAAACAATTCGAATCGTGCTATAGAATCGGAAATTGAGTGAATAATACGATTCACACGACTCACTGCGATTCAATTCTATTTTTATTTTTGCCTGCATAATGTATGAAACGACATCATTTTCGCCAAACTATGAAGATATATACAAGAGATTAATTAGTTATATTAATATATGTAATTTTATAGGTATATATAATTTAGTGATATTGGTAATTTACTTTATTTTAAACACTTTTTTTTTTATAGTTATATAAATATATAGAATTATATATCATATTAAATAAAAAGAATCTTATGATTCACGATTTGATACGATTCACGATTTTAGCAAAACGATTCACTATTCAATTCACAATTTGACAACAATGAATACATATCATAAATTTTGTACTCCAGTTAATAAATAAAAAATCTCAGTAGAGAAAAAATAAATTAACTAGCAAAGTAAAAAGTTTGACAAACATCATCGGAACTATACAGCCATAAATTCCATGTATCTAAGCAGGCCAAGAGAGTGAGTAAAGAAAATCTCCCTCAAAGGAAAAGAAATTAACCAAGCGGTCCTATCTTTTCTTATCCTCCCTTGACTCTTATCTTGTGATAAAATGCATGCTTTAATAGTTATTGTGAACTTTCTCAAAGCCAAGACTGGTTTCCAAAGATCTGAGAGATCCCAAATAAGAACATATAAGAAAGAAATAAATAGCTCTCAGCCTAGCACTAAATTCTAAATCCGTCCCAACAAACTAAGGGGGAAGAAATCTTGGTAAAAATTCATCCACATATTCTTCAATATAGAATAATGAACTGAATAAACCAGCCCCGGGTGCTCATTGGTTGTGACGTAATGTTGCTGGGAAAGAGGGGACTTCAGTATAAGCTAATAGCAGTAATATTAGCTAAAATAACTAGCCAAGAATGCATTCTCTATATTAACTAGCCACTTTTCATATACATCATCCAACAATACTCTTTGTTTTAGATAATAACCTTTTAAATATTGTTTCTTTCTTTTTTAAATTTAACGTACAGAGTCAGATATAAATGCACGATTTAGTAAAGTAGCAATGACAAGAAAATATAATAATGATAAAAAACTATTGTATAGTCTATAGTGGCTAACCACATTTGGCTAGCTACTATAATAATTCTTCAAATTAGCAAGCTAGCCACAACTGAGACTCTTAGACTTCAGTTTTTTTCTTTTTTTTTAACTAGAATAGGCAAATTAGCTAAAAAGTTGAGATGGCTAGGCTATTGGAGATGCTCTAAGACATAAAACTCAAAATACTCCATGCGCAACAGCAAGTATGTCTTGCTCAGCTATAGTCTTTGAAAGTAATGTAGATGCAAAAGCAAGCCTTTTAACAGGTTAAGCCTTAAGCACGCTGATGTAGCATAAAAAGAACGAGTAGTTAGATGTTCGAATTTTAGTTTTTAAGTAAACTCTTCATCCATATATGATAGTTGTTCATAGTTTCTATCCGTTATGCGATATACAGTTATTTTGGAATTCATTGATTTGATTCACTATCTGTGTATTCCATGCTTCATAATTCTTATCTATACTTTGCCAATTTATGACAAAAAGGGAAAAGATAATATATATATATATATAACACCGATAAAATATTTATTTCTTATTTCTACATAACATGCTACTTATGATATTTCCTGTTTAACAAAGTCTTGCAGAGAAATAGGTTATTTGAAGATTTTTGACAAATTTCATAATTTTTGGAATTTGTTTAACAGAACATAATTTGGAGTATATTGCTGTAAATTTTTTCTCTCACGTTATGTCATGAAATTGCGGAAGACGGTTGTGAGGAAAAATGTCCAATGTAACCTTGGTCAATTTTCTGTTGGCAATAACATTCCAAATGGCTGAGTCTGTAAATGCTTAGAAGCATTAATTAAGTCACAAGAGCAAATTCTATAGTGCAAGATTGAAATTGGAAGACTCCAGTTACAGCTTATAGCAGATTTTGACAGACTTATTTGGAAACGTATAACTCATGCACTGCATTCACACCATGTTTATGTTATGTTGATAACCTAGTTGGGATATTGTATTATTGGTTTTTGAACCATAAATAATTTAGTTTTGAACTATAGGATAAATTAACTAATGAATTAACCTTTAATAGATTTGATTTGGTTTATCTGTGTGTTGGAGTTAATAAATTGTGCATCAATGCATTAGATTTAATAAACTGTGCATCAATGAATTGCCCGTTCGAACATATTGCTTTAATGTTCAAACCCATTGTTTGGTTGGTTCATTGGAACGCATGGTCACTTCATTCAACTAGAGTGGTGTTGTTTCGTGACTAGGAGTTTTTGCAGTAGCTTCCTTGTTCAAACATTGTCCTGGTTCATTTTACCACAAAATGTTCTATCATGAACAATCTATTCCAACTCCAATAGATTGTTTATCCAAATGGGAGATGTCTTCATTGGAACGCGCTATGTCAGTTTAGCTTTTTCTGATCAAATCTGAACAGAATTCAGAAAAAGTTTATTGCCCTATGTATCTAAGTTTTCTCTTTTCCATTCATATAGTTGCCTATTCTTATTATGTATTGCCAACTCATGACATGCATGCATTGTAACTTGCAAGTGAAGGAGAGACTTAGGGCTTCATATAGTCGATACCCTACTCAAATTTCTTGATGATTCTTAAGGTCTTGTAAAGATCTTGTTGATCTATGTGGTTGATTTTGTAAATGTAAGCGTTGGGATTAGTTTATAGGGTAAGTTCGCATTCATACAGATTTTAGAGCACGCATGCATTGATCGTGGCTTAGTGTTGGTTCATCATGTTTGTGTGGAAGACATTACATCGCATTAATCTCAAATTAAAACCCTATAACCATCAATATTTTAGTGTATCTAAATTTGTAAAAGCAAAGGAAACATACAATCTATTGTGAACTAAACACCAACGAATTCAAGATTGAAACATAAGCAAGAAGGTCATTTCAATAACTGCTACACAAAGCATACCTAGCATTTGTATCAGTTTCAGTTGCATCACATGGGGAGGCTTCCAAGTTCTTTGAAACCACACACGACTCACAAAGTTGCTTCACCTCAGCAGATGTTGCTAGAAAAGACCCTTGAAATTAACAAAAACCAGCATGCTATACACTCAGTTGGGGAGGGTTCAGAGTTCTTTTTTTTTTCTTTTTTTTCTATCAAGTCACTTTGCAGGCAAACATGTTAAGGGACAGAGTTATAAATAGTAAAGCTCACCTTTGCAATTTTGACAAATAATAGGTTCCTTTTCAGGCAATGAACCAATGACACTCTGAATCGTTTCTTTTAACGTTTCCAGAGGAGAATCCTTGCAAGCCTTCAACACCTGTAGGAGGTTTTTCCCATTCTCAAGGTATATATAATATGATGCACATCTGTTTGATTTACAAGCATGGATCTCAAATCGACAAGGACTAACAACCTACATGTATGACAAAAAATCAAACTGTTAACCACACTCAAGAGACAGAGAGGAACTGCCAAGAAAGTTGTTAAAGTAAATTAAAATAACAATCAAAAATACTCACTCTGGATCCCTTGCACAAACTACAAAAACACAAGATCCCAATGTCCTTAACCACTCCCCGAAGAGCAAGTCCCTATAATCAGAATACCATTTTTTTAGTTTGAAGCCAGAATTGGACATTTTGACTATTAATAGTAACAAACAAACAAGAAAGCATGTTTGTATCTAAATTGAAACTGAACGGCCCATTTGCACAGAATTGGGACTATGGTGAAAATCCATCATCACAACTGAGATCATCAAGCAAAATTGAAACCATCATAGTAACTGATTGTGAGACCTACTACACTTTCAAAGAAAGGCCCTTTTCCTATAAAGACATAATCATGCATGTCTATACACACTGCACACAAGTGAGTACTTAGATTTTGATGAATGCCTTGCTTCTATGTTATCCACCATCATTGATGGCAATATTTGCATTTACAGCAATTAACTATTATGCAGAAAAGTTAAGAATTAGAGTAGCAAGTCTACCTTCTTACCACCATTGTAAAAAACTGAATACCCCTCGAGCAAACCAGTCGCAAAAAGCTCCTTAATCGAACTAGGTTTCCCCCCCAATGCAATCTTTTTCGACATTTTCAGTTCCAACTTCTTTGTTGGAGTCTCCAAAGCACTAACCACGGAACTTTCATTCACCTCAGCATTCAAACCTGATTTATTCTCATCACCATCGAACAATCTAGACCCAGCGGCGGCCGACAACGAACACTCCACCAGTTCCACATTTGATGTTGATTTCAAAGCTGACCTCGTAAATCTCCTCGGAACTTTAACCGGCACATTATTCTTATTCTTATTCTTATTCTCACTGTTTTTTACCCCATTAGACTCATCCACTACCATTGGCACACTAGGGTTTTTGTTTCCGTATTTCAAATCATCCTTAATTGAAGTCTCAGCCAACTCACCCTTGTTCTGGTCTTCACAATTAAGAGTTACCAAATTGCACTTAGATTTGTCCCCAATTTCAGTTTCAAACTCTGAATCTGTTTTGTTTAACCTACTGGATCTCCTACATCTAGTAATGCCATTACATGAACTACCACCACATACCTTCCTCTCTTGATTCTGATCAATCAAACCATTTCTCTCCGATTTCTCTTTCAACTCCGATTCGTTCAAACCACAATCCTTGATCCTTTTGCTGCTTGGATCCTCAGACACACCGTTCAAGTCATCACCCTGAATCTGAAACCTCGACGCTCGAGTTCGACCCAGCGAACCAGTGAGTTGAGACTGAGTCTGCAATGCGAAAGCTAACTCGCGCTTCATGATCTATACTCGCACTCCTGAGAACAACAAATGCAACGTTCAAGATACAGATCTGAGACAAAAACAAACGTTAGAGGGAAAAAAAGAAACGAAATCGATTCATAGATATCTGTAGGATGACAAATGAAACCCTAATTTCATGTACATGTACAGAGAGAGAGAGAGAGAGAGAGAGAGTTGATTACGGAACTATTACGAGGGGATTCGAGGAATGGATCGTTCCGAAGAGGTTTAGATGGGTTCGAATTGAGGTGAGAAAGTTGGAGCAATGTCTTGGAAAGAACGAATTTTGAGAGAGAGAGAGAGAGAAGACGATGATGGGTCTCTCGACTGGCAGAGTGTAGGGTGGTGTTGTATTCGGAGGAGGGAGACAAATGGTTGGATTTGTAAATTAAAAAATTAAAAAGGGACTGGCTTGCCTGAGGGCCGATTTCGGATTAGATGAGTGTTGTCGGGCCCTTTAAGGCCTCGTTTGTAAACATTTCTTTTAATTAAAAAGTTATTAAATTAGTTAAAAATTTAATAATTTATATAAAAAAATTAAAAAAAAAAAATTTATTTTTTGCACATCTTTTTGTAAAAAATTAAAAATTCATCCCAAACATACTAGTTTTTTTAGTTCATATTTTAACCAAATAGCCAAAAAATTACTAAATTAGCATGTTTCTAAACGAGACCTAAACTTATTTTTAAGTTGTATATTAATGATTTAAATGGTTTATATTTTAAAATCTGTTAAGCATATTTGACGTGGGAAGGCCCATAAAGGCCATAACCCACTATGAACAACCCAAGTCTACCACTTAGGGCCCAATACATAACCCAACTGATAAAGCTTAGCACAGCTGGAAGTCAACATGACATAAAGGACCAATAATATTCAAATACGTGGCAAGTAAAGAGCAAGCCACATCAGCAAACAAAGATCTGCAAAGTTATTGCCACTGTGCATCGCCATTAATGCAGCCCTTCATAGCATTTATTACGACAACACCTCTCCGTCGGGACAGCACACCCTCACCCTGAACAAAGTGAGCTACAACACAGACTTTTGGCCAAGGTGACAGGTCGGAAGGGACAACAAAATGATTACCAAAAGATATAAGCAGACGTTGAAAACAAGAAGAAGGTTAAGCTTTTCTATCTCTATTTCATCTCTACACTCCACTCCTCTCTCTAACTTGCTCGTCGGAGGGTTTGCTAGGGGACTCCTCGTTCCCCGTTGAACTCTTGTGCAGGTCTTCAGGTGGGCTTAGTCATTCGGTCATAGGCTTAAGAAACGTAGATCAATCCGACCAGTTCTACCTTCACAAACTGCATCATCAGTTGGCGCCGTCTGTGGGAACCTCAACAAGCTCCTCCACAAGCTCTCCTCTGACCAACTCATCCTCATCTCAGACGTCAAGCCCTTCAATGATCATTGCCTCATTCAGCTTGACTTCTTTGAGTGAGGCAACATAACATTCCCTAGTAATTGTCTGCTCGCCTCTCATTGTCCCGACCCCCAATTCGGTGGGGAACTTAATAGTAAGGTGGTAAGTTGATGTGATAGCTTGAAAAGCATTTAGGACGGCGCGGCAAAAGGATGATGTTGTAGGCGGAGGGGAACAAAGAAGGTGAGCAACTTTGTGGTCTGCTGCGGGTACTCGCCGATTGTGATAGGAAGATCGATGGAGCTGACGGAGGTTATACGGTCACCAGTGAAACCGACCAAAGGGGTTTGGAGAGGAGACAGACTTTCCTCCCCAATCTTGAGCTGGCGAGAGCAGTTGAGAAAGATGATGTCTGAGGAACTACCATTGTCGACGAGAACCCGTCTGACCTTGTAGTTAGAGAGGAGGGTAGAGATGACGAGAGGGTCGTCATAAGGGTAACGGATCCCGATGCAGCCGACCATGATTCACTGCCTCTTTCCCATACCCTGTATTTTCCACTTCAAGTCATCACGTGGCCCACCGCCTCTCGAGCTCGGCACCCTGCCACCTCACCCTTCGCGGTTGGCCCTCCTCACAGTCGGTCCCTCCACTCAGTTACCCTTCGCGGTCGGTCACTCCACTCGGTTCCCCTTCGCGGTCGGCCCTCTTCACAGTCGGTCCCTCCACTCGGTTACCCCTCACAGTTGGCCCTCCTCACGGTCGGTCCCTCCACTCGGTTACCCTTCGCGGTCAGCCCTCTTCACGGTCGGTCCCTCCACTCGGTTACCTTTCGCGGTTGGCCCTCCTCACGGTCGGTCCCTCCACTCCGTTACCCATCGCGATCGGCCCTCCTCACGGTCGGTCCCTCCACTCCGTTACCCATCGCGATCGGCCCCCCTCACGGTCGGTCCCTCCACTCGGTTACCCTTCGCAGTCGGCTCTCCTCACGGTCGGTCCCTCAACTCGGTTACCCTTCGCGGTCGGCCTTCTTCACGGTCGGTCCCTCCATTCGGTTACCCATCGCGATCAGCCCTCTTCGCGGTCGGTCCCTCCACTCGGCCATTTCTGGTCGGTCGTTCCTTTCACTCGACCTTCAACCCCCATCTTCCTCATTATTCCCTTCGTTGGGCTAAAGTTGCACTTGGAAATGGGGAACTACTGACGTGGGTAGGCCCATAAAGGCCATAACCCACTATGAACAACCCAAGCCTACCACTTAGGGCCCAATACATAACCCAACTGATAAGGCCCAACACAGCTGGAAGTCAACATGACATGAAGGACCAATGATATTTAGATACGTGGCAGGTAAAAGGCAAGCCACATCAGCAGACAAAGATCTGCAAAGTTATTGCCACTGTACATCGACATTAATGCAGCCCTTCACAGCATTTATTACGACAACAGCTCTCTGTCGGGACAGCACGTCCTCACCTTGAATAAGGTGAGGTACAGCATAGACTTTTGGCCAAGGTGACAGGTCAGAAGGGACAACGAAATGGTTACCAAAGGATATAAGCGGACGTTGAAAACAAGAAGAATGTTAAGCTTTTCTATCTTTATTCCATCTCTACACTCCACTTCTCTCTTTAACTTGCTCGTCGGAAGATTCGTTGGGGGACTCCCCATTCCCCATTGAACTCTTGTGCAGGTCTTTAGGTGGGCTTAGTCATTTGGACATAGGCTTAAGGAGCGTGAATCAGTCCGACCCGTTATACCTTTACAAACTGCATCATCAATATTAATTTTATAAAAAAAATTAAATTAATTGGTAATAACCAACACATATTAGGATTAATTTTGTATAAAAAATAGATTGTAAAAAAATTAATTGTACACATAGTTTTTATTATCTAATTAACTTAATTTTTTACAATAGTAATATATTTTACAAATTTTAAAATATGAATCATTTAAATTATCAAAAAATATTCAAAAATAAACTCAACAAGCCGAATTAAACTGTATAATACGATTTTACACCCGAGCCAGTCCAAATCCATTAAAAAAGGTGTTGATTTGATGACACAAAATAGAATTACATTGCCCAAGCCGCATGGGATTCGTTTCCTCCCATGCTGCGATGTTTGATGGCAACAGTAAGCAAAATATAAATAATAAATAAATAAAGATAAATTACACTTCCCTCTAATGAAATTTATGATAATTATAGGGATATCTATTATAGTTCAATAATTATACTAATTTTTCTTATTTTTAAAATTATTATCAAGATTTTTTTACTGTTAGATTATTTAACATAATTTGTTGATGTCGTGCTAATATCATATAAGAAATGATAAAATTGTCTATTAATTATTTTATTTATTTAAATGAGATATTTCACTCACCTCCCATGAGATTTTACATATATTATCAAAAATGTATACATATTTTATCCTTATTTAATAAAATTCTTAAATTTCATTAATATTAAAATAAATATTTAAATTGTTAAGATATTATTAAATCATTTAATGCAAAAAAAATTATTAATAAAATACTTTGAAATAAAGGGTAAATTACAAATACACCCCTCGAGGTTTTATTAAAATACGAATCACCCTTGTGGTTTTGAAAATTACATTTCACCCCTTGAGGTTTCTAATTTAATAACAAATTGCCCCTTTTATTAATAAATTATTAAGTTAATTAATGGTTTCTAATGATGTTAAAAATATGTTTCAATTAATAATTTAGTTAATTTTATTATTGTATAGGAAATCAATTATGAATTTTATTTTTTCAGCTAATCTTGTCAAATAAAAAATTCTAATAAGGGGTATTTGTAATTTTTCAAACCACGGGAGCTAATTTGTATTTTAAGCAACCTTCGGGGGTATATTTATAATTTGTCCAAAAATAAATAATCTCTCTAAAATTAATGTTAGATAGTGTCCTAATAACTTAATATAAGACTTATTTCACACCACATAAATAATTTAAAATTTATTAAGTAATGCATTTATTATTTAATTTTTTTTTAAAGTTAAAATAAAAGAGAATTGACCAATAAATCCCGTTTTGTAGAATTGTAATCTATAAGGTCCTAAATATTTTTTTGGTGACTAAGTGGTCTCTTAAATTATTTGTTGATTGTTTTGCCACTGTTAGTACAATATACGGGGAAGGTTGTGGAATGTTTGTGTGTCACACTGTTTGAAAAGTGCACTAGTAACTTTTTAAAGTATGGTTGTTTTCAACACTCGTAGTGTGGGGACGTGAATTCTTTACTAATTATTTTTTGGCCCGTGACGTGAAGAGACGCAATAATTCAATCAAATTGGGTCCACTACATTGGAGTATCACATGTCACGTTTAAAAAAAATACATTAACGAGTTTTTAAATTTTTTTAGAATGTCACAACATACCAGTCACGTTGTCACATTTGAAAAAAATACACTAAAAATGAGTAAAAATTTTGGAGTATCACACCATACCTGCCATATTGAGGGTGTTTGTTTCAGCTTTTCAGAGTCAACTTATGGCTTTTAACTTTGAAAAAGTTATTTTGGACTGTTTGGTTAAACTTATTTCAAACATCTTCTGATTCTAACAGCTTATTTTAACTCAAAAAAGCTGATTCTGAGAAGCTGCTCACCCCTTGCTTCTGATTATCAGTTTTGTCGCTGCTGTGGTCCTCGAATTATGGTTATACTTTAAATTTTTTTTATTTTTTTTATTTTTTTAAAAATAGAAAAAGACTCAAATGGACTATAGATTATTATATTTTTTTTTATGAGAAATGTAGACAAACAAAAAATAAAAATTAATTGAAAAAGCTATTTCACAGCTTATTTAACAAACACTACTCAACAACTTAAATCTATAATCCAACAGGTACACCAAACAGATTAACAACTTATGATTAAAGTCATAATTTATAATCTGTTAAGTTATAATTTATAAGTTATTTTAACAGCTACACCTATCACGTTTAAAAAAAATATACTAAAAAATATTTAATTTTTTAAA